TCATTATGCACGTATTTCCGTGCCCACCTCAGTATAATATGTGCATCATGAATATTTAATAGCAATGAATTTCCTGCAGAATAAACCAGTCAGGGTGATTTCGCGCTAACACCTCCATTTCGCGATTTTTTATTTTATTTTATTTAAACTACAAAAACAAATTAATCGCCCGACTGCGCCAGTCTACCCAAATACCACTGTTGTGAGGCACATATACACATGTAGCACAAAGCAGTACCTTGACATGAAAATACCTCATAAGCTGAGACACGCAGACAACAAATGAGACAAGCCATTTGTAACTAAATAATTTAATGTTGATATACCGGTATGCTTAATTTGTATTTGTTCATTTTAATATGCTTTTATTTTTAGTTTATAACTTAATACATAATAATATATTTGCTTTATTAAAAGTGCATCTCTAATGGAAGCATACATGAACCAAAAACTGCAGTGGATTGCTATAACTTGTTCCAACCCCTTGACCCATCGCTTTAATTTATTGAGTGAAAGCGCTATTAATACTAAGGTAATGTAATTAAAATTAAAATTATATAAAATATTGAACATCGAGATGATACATTTTATTTTTAGTAGTATCTTGGGTTAATTTAAAGGGTGGTAGTCGTCGCGCCATCCATGGCAACTTTGGCTGTTGCAAAGATCAACAAGTACAAACTGAGACCATACCAAGCTTGGATTAGGTATTTTAAGGTGATTGGAAGGTATCAAAGGAGTGACCGACGGTAATCAGTGCAAGTTGCACCCAGGTCAAACCTCATACTTGTGATTTCCATTATAAGAGCGCATTGAATTGTGGGAAAATCTATGTTTATCAACACAGCGCGACGACCACCGCCCTTTAATGGTATAACATCCTAAACAATTGCACTTCAAACCACACAAGGATCTCAGGATTGTTTTTTGTTCTGAAAAACTGAGTTATAAATTAAGAATTTTTTTAATGACACTACAGGACATGTAAAAATAATAATAACCTCAGATATCATTTATGACATAAGCAATAACCCCCCCCCCCCCAAGTTACCAGTATTTCACAACTTATGATACATTGTACACTGGTAAATGCACACACCAAAGTCGAGTGCATACATGAAGATGAATGACTTGCAAAATAGTGAATGAATGTCAGATCGTGGAGAAATATTGTCATATTCATGTACCCCAAAAAACTGGTTAAAAATTTCTCTCAAATTCACCAAGTGGTATTACTATTGTAATTGTGTCTGTCTGCAGAAAACACTGCTAGCAATGTACAACAGTAATGGACAATTTTCCATAATTTGGAGATCTAACATAATTTAAAGATCAAAATTTGACTTTCTGATACCATCTAGGGGTTTTTCTAAAAATAATTTTTAAGAGGAAGCACACACTTGTTACCATTGGTAACACTTGTTATAACTGATCATAATCTTCTGACTGTTCCTGGTTCGAGGGAGCAAGCCTTGGGTATGAGGGCGCTGCACCCCAATTCCCCTGTCTAGAAGAACCCTAGCCATCTGCCAATCTCCTGTTTGCATTTTGTTTCCATATTTGAATTGTGTGCTTCATCCGTGTTCATCCGCTATGTTACCAAAATACATGTATATCTATCAAGGGTGGTAGAAATTTGGTGTTGTTTTTTTCAAAGATTTCCGTATCCATGTTGACAAACATTTTTTGATTGTCAATGTGATTTTTTTTGGTTATGTTGAAATTGCCAAGAACGGAAGGGAAAGCAGTTTACCTCTTGCTTGGCTATTAACCATCCTTTTTGGGGGATACCTGGTGGCCATGCAAGGGAAAGACATGCCATGGCATGAAGCTAGGCGATTAGATGGCATACACACACAGTACGTGTTTACTTTAATTTGACGTAGTATTTACCATGCCGTTCATTTAGTGTTATTTACTTGATCTAACCACTTGACAAGTAGTTTTATGGCTTTGTTGCCTACAACAAGTATGAAACAATTTGCAATATTGTAGGAAAGTAACAAACAAAATTCTAGTAGCAGCAGAGAGTACTTTTACCTTTTTTCCCTAGTTGTACTATCAAACATCGTTATAGTGTATTCAGTTCTTCCCAGGTACAAAGAAGCACTTCCTGATGAGGGACATGTGGTATCACTACCGTCCATTGTTAAAGTCTGCTGTTTCTCACCAGTCAATGGGTCCACTGCAATCCAAATATCTGTTTTTCGACCTGGAAACACATTTATATTTACATTAGGTCTTGACATGCACTCACAGTTAGAATTTTAAGAACCTTATTGGTTTAATTAGAGTGATATGCAAATCTTCATGTTTTTTTTAAAGTAAGATATATACGCCAATAATTTTATCACCTATTTGTAATTTATTGGTATTCTAATTGTCATGCTGGTTTATTTTACAGGAGAGTGTTGTGTAATATACTGATGTAGCGGAGTTCAATGTGCTTCAAATACAACACTATGTGCCCCAAATACAACACTACACATGTATGTGCCCCAAATACAACACTATGTGCCCCAAATACAACACTACACATGTATGTGCCCCAAATACAACACTATGTGCCCCAAATACAACACTATGTGCCCCAAATACAGCACAATGCATATGAAATGCTGTCACTTACTATTACTTAACAAGCAGCCCGTCGGCTGAGATAGCTCCGCTGTTAGCAATGCCCATTT